TTCAGATGATATTTTAAATTATATATGAGCTATTTTTTAGGGAACATATGGAGATTATTTGACCATCTTTGAACAATATGGCTATGTTGCTTTATTTTCGGCAGTAAGTCTAATAGAAGAATGTGAGATTAGTACGAAGTGCAAAAAAAATACTGATCCCTCGAGATTGAAATGTAACTAAATATTAATTAATAATTACAAAAGAACTGAATTATACAATAACAGTAACAATAGTGAATGTGCAATATATACATGAATAGTTTTATATAATCTTACAATTTAAAATTTAAATCAAAGAATAATTGTTATTTTTCATCTATGTGAACCTATTTCTTTATCATATATTGGAAAATTTAATTTTAACAGTCAAAGTATTCGTGATGAAAGTTATATGAAATAGTAGAGTGAATAACATAGATTGTAGATACGTGTTGTAATGTAATGGTTATTTTGTATATGAATTATTATAATTTGTGAAACTTCTGTCATTGTTTACAATTTGTTGAAAATTTTTTAAAATCAGGAATTTTCAAAAAACGACTTGATTTCAAACTTTCTTTAGTTTCATTGAGAGAGAATGAAATAATTTTCTAGTTTTATTGCATTAAGTTGCAAATTAATTACACTACATACTACATATATATTGTTATGTTAACTTATTTTAAAACTGTAACAATATTAATAAAAAGTGTTAGGGGGTCAGTTTTTTTTGCACTCTGCACCATTTATGAGCGTTGAAGTCTATATGTCTAATTCTCTTTGAGTCCAAATATTGTAATATACGAAAATTAGTGACATGACCAGAAAAAGTTATGAGGAATACTCAACTGTCTGATCATGTTTATACAGGAAGCGGAGACCATCTGGTCATGCTTCTAGAGAAGAATTAGGTCTCTTTTTTAAGCGGAAGTCAGCTGTTGCTAGAAGGAACTGAGCATTCTCTAGCCTTCATTTGATGACGACACTAACAAAAATGTTTATCACAGTTAGGATAAGATAATCTGTCGATACTGTAACATTGTATATTTAAAGATGTTCGTTAAATAATAGATTTGAGTTTATTATAGTTCACATTTTAATTTCATAAGGATTTTGTTAGACGCATTTTCGAGAAAGAAAAAAAGTTTGATTTACAAAATAGATTGTCTTAGGGGTCAGCTCACACAAAAAAAAAGTATTCATTTTTTCTGATGTTGTCGATCATTACAATAATTCAAAAATAATGTTGATACCAAACTTACACATGAAGTAAACTCTTAGTTAGCTATTATGTTTTCACTAGGTCTTTCCATGGATCGCAATTTGTGCATTAATTAATAATATATTTGAACTTCGTGCTGATGCTTTTAAATATTGTCATGTCTATCAACGTCCATTTGCTCAACGTGCTTGGAATATTGGTCAGTAAATTTGTTCTATCGTTAAAATTCTTTAAATATGTATTTATAGGTAGTTGGCGTTATGCATTTGATATACTAAGTTCAATCGCCATTGTTACTAATACAGCATTAATTGCAATGCAACCATCAGTTCGTGAATATTTTTCATCATATACAGATGCTGAATATTTTCTAATTTTTGTTGCTGCTGAAGTATAGCTATTTTATAATTCTTTTTTTTTCTCTTATGAAATATGTGGGTTTTTTTGTTGTTGTTATAGCATATTCTTTTAGCATTGAAATTTGCTATTAGTTTTGCTATCCCAAGCACACCAGCGGAAGTTCAAATTGCTAAAAATAAACATCTCTATGAATCTTATCAAGCTTTAAGACTTGAAGTAAGAAAAATACAATTAAAAATAGATTATTGAATTTTTGTATTCCTCTTTTGTTTTTCTTTCTAGCGTGAACGCAGAACATTAAAAGCTCAAGTATCAATCAAGAAACATTAATATATATTAGCTATTTTGATTGGCATTTATTTTTTTTTACATGACAACTCTTTCGAGGGTACATCTGGGCCACTTTTTCATAGTCAATAAATAATCTCGCATGTTTCTTTTTTCATTTATAACATCTATAATCTTTTAGTTGTAGCTATGGTGACTTTTATATGTATGTATTAGTCTGTTTGATTGCATGATTGCTTGATAACAACAGATGTTTTCTTTTTCGACATAATAAAGCATGTTATTCCTTGAAAATGGTTAGTATTAGGCATTTTCTTAAACTATCAGATCTTCATTCTAAATAAATAAGCTTATAAATAATGATCTTACTAGTTTTCTTTTCATTGTTTAACCGGATTTAGAGGAAAAAGCACAATTTTCAGTGCTACAAAGTTGGATCTTTCATCTTTCAAACTATTAAGATAAATGAGTTGATATAAAATTATCTTTCGAATATTTTAATATTCCAATGTAATCTTGTCTGTAAGTGGATCTACGATACTTGTATCTGATGATATTGCATCACTGCCAGTTTTAGTTGGTATTGCTAAATTGCTATTAGCATGTATTTGTTTTATTGTTGTTTTTTTATTATTCATATGATTGATTTGAGCATCTTGATCAATGACTGATACAGTTTTTTTCGTTAAATGATAATGACGATGAGATATACCTTCGATTACATCATTCGATATAACAGTTATACCTGGTCCCTGTTGAACTTCAGATAATTCGTCAATATCAATAATTATACCTTGTGGTTGTTCAAATATAATATTTGTTTGCGTTTGAGTTTGATCAGCTCTTTTGATAAATATTTGTGACAGAAAAAGACCAAGTAGAATAATGATCATGACAACACCGAAAGCAGCAAGCAAAGAAATAATAAAAATTGCCATTCTATTGACTTGATCGATCGTATATATTTAGATATACAGTGAAAATATGATAAATTCAATAAATAGTGATCATTTTTGTCACCGTTGCTAAAGTTCAGCGAAAAATGATTTTAATATCTAAAATTAATATACAAAGAAGTAAAGAAGAATGAAATAAAAAGAAAAAGCTTGTTGTTGCGTTGATTTAGTTCCGAGTAATTGGAAAATGCAGCGCGCTTTCTCTATCATTAACAGAAATTTTCTCAGGAATTATATTAATACAATTATCATGTTTGCAAAGATCTCTTCCTTTATTGAAGTTTTTTTTTAATAGATCGTATTAGTATCGTTAAAAAACAGCTACCATCAGCACATAATTCGATGTACTCTATGTTGACAAATGAAAATCACGTGCATACATTAATAGAAACGTTCTTCAAATGGTTCTGTATGTGAATCATTTATTGATCTATATGATAACTTCTTACGAGATGCAGTTTCAAAGAGATATTATCAAAAAAACTTATTAGTTGCTTAAATTCAAAAGGTAGGAATCGCGAATGATTATAATAGGAAACTATTGAATAGTAACTCTATGTGATATTTTCTTGTCTTTTCTCTGTGTTCAATTTTCATGAGTCTGATTCATCTATGATGATATGAGAATGTTGTCAAAAATGGTGTTATATAAAAATAATGAGGATCGAGAAAAAAATTGATATCGCAAATATGTATGCCAACTGATTATCAATAGTATCACACTTGAAAGTTGAATTCAATTGAGCAACTACTCCTCAAGTATTGAAGTTTCAATTCAGCTATTCAAATCTTTGAGAGAGATATCTTGTATGTATGTTTCATTGGTATCCTTAGCATGAGAAGAAAGTTGTTTAGTTAAACTAAAACAAAAACAGTTAAGTAGTTAAATACTTGAAGTTGAATTATTCAAGTTTCTAGTTTGACACATACGACAATAAAACAAGAACGAAAAGATAAAATTATTTGTCAATATTTCCATTGACGAAGGAAGCAAGTTACAATTTGATAACATTTGTAATAAGAATAATAACTTGATCAATTTTATCCTTCATTGTCATCCAAGTCGTACTTGACCAGATCATGTTGGACGCTAATTTACATGAAAGACCTTTGAATAGAATAGAGAAAACAATAAATCAGAGTAAAACAAAAAACTTATTCATGGACTTGTGAATATGATTTCATTTGAAAATTCAATTTTTAGCATAAATAGGATCTCTCAGATGTTATCGGTTTCATTGACGGTAGTTGTTAATTATCTTCCCGATAATGTCGGTCAAGCGTGTACACGATTTACTGTCCGCGGATTTACTGTCCGTTGATTAATTCGAAGAAGATAAATGAATAAATGAGTAGTCATTTCGTCCATCAATGTTCTTTCGAAATAAAAGTCGCATAAATGTTCCCAATGAAAAAAAAATTCATGAAGATGGGAACGATTGACTAAATTTTCAATTGATAATGAACAATGATCATCAAATTAGACCCTAGTCGAGACTCCCTAGAAGAATCCTCGGGGGAATTCCTGTCGTGAGTCCCTGAGGGAGTTAAAAGAGGATTCATGGACTCCCTAGGGAATTAATGAGTATTATCAAGGTCTCTCCAGAAGCCACCATTGGAATTCTCTGAAAAATTCAAATTTATGAAAATTTTAGAGGGACACCCTAAAATTTGGAGACTCCCCGGGGAGTTTTAGGGGACTCTGAGATATGCAACTTCCACAGAGCCTCACGACAGAGATTCTCGAGGGATTTCGTTGTGGAGAGTCGATTAGGGGAGAAAAAAATAGTCATTTATATGAATAAAATTTGTAAAAATGTATAAATCAAGAGATTAAGAATTTTCTTATCGTACTTTTTCTAAAAATGTCTGCTACATTTGTTGAATCTACAGATGGTAAACGACAGTTATGTTACCTCAGCTATGGATATTCTTTAAAACGTAAGAATAAAAAAGGTTCTGAGTACTGGATATGTGTTAAATCTCAAGCAACAGCTACAAGTTGTTCAGATTTATCAGTAACTGTACGTGATAAACATACACATGTACCTGATGAAACCGATAAACAAATATTAGAAATACAACAGAATCTTAAACGCAAAGGTATTGACGAATCTGTTCCAATTGATCATATAATCGAAGAAGCATTTCATGCAATTAATAATTAATTCCAATCTAATGATTTGCTTATAAATATGCCATCAATTCATACAATTAAAAATACTGTACAAAAACAACATCGTGAGACTTGTTCACCACTTCCTAGATTCATCGAACAACTGCCGTTTTTATTATCAGATGATTATTGCAAAACTACACAAGGTGAACGTTTTTTATTGTATGATGGACGGCTTGGTGATGTTCGTCCACTTGTTTTTTCTGCTTATAATGATATGATTTATCTATTCCAACAGGGAAATTGGTATATTAGTAATGATATCTTTTATATCTGTCCATCTATTTTTTATCAAACATATTCCATTCATGTTTACTATGATGGCATATCAACGCCATGCATTTTCGCATTACTTAGTAGTAAATCTGAACAAACTTATACTGATATATTTGCATTGATATTTAAAAAAATGTTCGAGTTCGACTTACTTGTTAGGTTGAGAACGATTACAATTGATTTTGAACAGGCTGTCAAAAATGTATTTACAAAACATTATCCAACTATTACTGTTCGTGGTTATTTATTTCATTATGGGCAAAGTTTACATCGTAAATTTGTCGCTCTTGGTTTAAAAGCGGCATATAAAAATGATGAAAATCTTCGTGATTGGTTCCGGTCTTTGGCAGTATTATCTTTATTATCATTAAATCATATGTTATGGGGTTTACAATATTTAATTCATACTCAACCTGTATATATCCATGTATTCCAGATTTTCTTAACTATTATCATAATACTTACGGACCATTCAGAATATTTCCACCGCATATGTATAACCACTATAGTGGCGGAGCCAGGATTTTGAACTGGAGGGGGGGGGGGGGCTCAACCCCCTCTGAGGGACCTTTGAGCCCCAGTTAGTAAATAAAATACATGGTTTAAAAATTTTCCTGGGAGGGCTCAAAAGTTTCTGGGGGGGGGGGGGCTGAGTCCCCCCTGGCTCCGCCACTAAACCACTATCGTAATATATTACCACGTACTATTAATTATTTAGAAGGCCGTCACTTGTAGCTGAAAAAAACATGTAAATGCCCCACATCCAAATATTTATGTTGCAATTGATTTACTTCAAAAGAAACAATTATTAGCATCCATTGCAAGATTATAAGAGATTCTATGGGTGCTTCAACTCCGAAATGTCGAAAAAAAAGTTACAACAAATGAATATTTAATAAAATTATGACAATGTTATGATAAAGGTCATCTTGATATTCCTTCCTTCTTAAAAGCTGCTGGGTTTCGATACTTCCAACGTTCATCCAAAAGTTAAATATTCGTTTATCTTTCTTGGGTTATTTATTTATTCATTGTTTTTTTTGTTATTTGTTCATATAATTCTTGGATTTTTTTGTTGATAATACATTGATAATTTCACTGACTATTCTGTTGTTGATCTGTCTGCTTCGAATTAATCAATAGATAGTAAATCCTCATCCAAGAAAAGGACTAATTGGAAGAAATTTTCTTTTTCAATCAACGAACAGTAAATCCTTGACAGCAAAAAATTTTTATTTTTCGAGAAAAGAAGCAATTAAAATTGAAAAGTAATCAATGGACAGTAAATTCTGTATACCATCTAAATGGAAGAATAAGGTTTCTATTCAATAGAAAATAAATAAAACTTGAAACCTTAGAATAATTCTTTCAAGCTTTATCTATTATCATTTGGATTTCTATTAGCGAAAATGATCTATTGATTAAAATTCTTTTTTAAATAATAGATGAAAAGGAAACATTACTTTTTCTCGTGTATTCAATTTAACTCAATAGAATAAATAAATGCAAATAAGGATTTAATGAGGCTGATCAAAGTTATAAAAACAATTGGAGGAAGTTCTTCTTTTCTCTGAATATCTATTCTAAATTGAAAAAAAGCAAATCAGACTGTTCATCTAGAAGTAATTGAATACATCTTAAATTACCTATTATTAATTGAAGTTGTTGTCAAAAATTTGTTTATTAAACTGATTACAGTTTACTGAGACAAATGTTGAAAATTTCTTCCAAATAAATGATTTATGGTAAACTAGTATTACTCTTCTTACAATGCATTTCTTATGTTTGATTAACTAAAAGTAATTCAACTTGTTTAATAATACTCTTATGCAATAAATAATAACAAAAATTTTTTTTTTCTTTTATTCTCACTCAATGGTAGAATATGATAGGCGCTGTTGATTTGAATTTTGAGATAAAACGATCTAAAACATGTTGATAGATTTTTTTGTCTCTGTAAAAATGTGATTTGCTAAATCTGTATAATCATTATAATAATGAGAAACTCATTTTCAATAAAATTATATAATTATATTTCATACTAAACAAGCAAATAGATGAGCTCTTCGATCGTAAGTTTACGTTTTGTAAAAAAAAAAGAAAAAGGTAAAATAATTGCATAGAAACTATTGGATAAAATGAAATTTATTTGAATAACATTAAATATTATCCTACTTTGAAAAATAGTTTAAGAAATAAAAGTCTTGACAAAGTAAATGAATGTTCTTTTCTCCAAAAAAAAAAGATTCTTTTTCGTAATAATCATAGTTAATCTTGAATGCCCTTTAATAACACAAAAACTGTAAGTCAGAAGTAAAAAGCAAAGACATGAATATTTTACGTTATTAAAGGGAGCATCGTATACCTGTGTTGGATTTCTTGTTGGTTGTGTTAGATGCTGAATTTAATTCTCTATCAAATATTACCAGTCGATTCCTATAGAGATACACTCACTGTTGATTTGAACTGCGCAGTTGAATCAGACTTGGAACCGATAAAACTTTTTTTAATCGAACCAGACCAACCGGTTCAATCACAGGATTCAACTGGTGAAAAATCGATGTGTTTAGCATATCAATCAAAAAATAGTCCTTTCGAAATAAAATTTATTTCTATGGCTTCATGAAAACATAAAATATCATATACTCATATAACTCTTGGAGGTTCTAATAATAAGAACTTCTATTTTAATCTCTCGAGTTCCAAATACGCTAATACTCAAAACAAAAAAAGAACTCTTTGAAAACTTTTCATCGAGTAACTCACAACAACTGATATTTGACAATATCCATCTTTTGTTTTGCTTGATTTTCTCTATTAAAGATAGTTTCTTTATGAGAATTGATAACTTTGATGTCTTCTTATATGAAATCATTATTTAGTGAAACCGAAACACTTCTCAATCTGCGTCAAGCTATTACTGCCAAAAGAATAAAAAAAAAGAGCCGCAAGGCTCGGCTTTTATACTAGACTTCATATTGCTAGATTTTTCAATACCTAAATATTTTCTCGGTTGCCTCAGACTAGCATTTGCCATAACTTTCAAAGCACAACGAAATTTTTTCTGATACTCTTGTAATGAAAAAATGAACTGAAAACGATCAGCAATTGAAATTTTCTGATAGTCACTTAAAAGCAGCCCAGAAAAGTGAAATCGAGATTTCCAGATGAAAAATCTGTACTTTACATACAATTTAACTTCTAATGATTGACTAGCTTTTCATGATCATAATGAATTCATTCAACATAACATAATCTAAGGCCCGTATTGTACCATGAAAATATACGTGACTTCAAAATTAAGAGCTGAGATTTCGATGGTAACAAGAAATTTGTTAGTTGGAGACTTGCAGATTCACATTTCTAGATTGATAACGCCATGAAAATCAATAAAAACGAGAAAAATAGATTAGCTTCAGTATCCTAAAAATTGAAAAAGGCCGATAAAAATCAGTCCGCCTAGTTTCAAGTCCTCTAGAGGTGACTATATTTCAAATGAATTAAAGCTTAACATTCAATAGAGATTCAGATGCAGAAAATTGCTTCAACAATTATCCAGTCACGTAGGTGAGAATAATAGTGCGGGCAATCCGATAAAAATAATGGCTTAGCTCTGCAACCTTCGTCAAAACTGATTCTATGTCATATAACAAGAAATTTTGCGTCTGACATTGTCATTTAAACAGTTAACATAAATTACAAATGAAATCGGTCAAAGTTTACTGCCACAACAGAGTCGAAATTCTAGTATTTTGACTTCAAACTCCAGTTTTTTCTGGATAACCTCCTTTGAAAGTAGCACGATTCGATGCAGAATTTACTTTTGCATTCAAGACAAGTTCAGGAACAAGCATCACCAAGACACACTCGAATCCACTGCTAACTCTCTTTACATAGCGCAATCTGAAATTAAGCACCCGCTTCCTTCCCGTCAAAAATCTATTTTTTGTCCCAGAACAACCGATCTAACTGAAAACTGCAGGGAAAAATATGCCAAACAAAGTTTGCCATTGAAAATCAATGTTTCCATTTAGTAAAACGATAGAGAAAACGCATCGATTGTAGTCTAACATGTGTTATTTGACCATAGCGGATCAAAAACATATTTGTGTGTACTTGTACAGCATCTAAAAATCGGAATCGAGAAGAGAAAAAACAGATGAAATATGAGTGTGAGGAGTCATGTCACCCATCCACAGCCAATCGTAGTCATTCACATCTACACCAACAATATCGGCTGCTTAAATAGACAAAATAGGAGAAGAAGAAGAAGAAGAAGAAGAAAGGATTGATAATAAACATGAAAGAATAAAGACAGAAAGAAAAGAGAACACATAGTTATGTGAAAAGGTGTCTCTTCTGACATAACACTGTCAAAATAATTATATAATTACATGAACACTGGTAGGAAAAGAAATATAGAGCACGAATCCATTTGTTTGAAGGCTTGCAGCGCTCGCTATTTCACACATTCTTATTAGATTCTTCACTGCGAGAAACCTTAGAAAAAGTTTAAAAGGCAACAATAAGTAGCATTTCAAAAAACTCTTTTTTCCTAATTCCAGCATCATTAATAAATCCTGTGTAAAATCGTAAAAAAGTATCAGAATTCCGATAAATAAAACTATTTTCGAAAGTAGACAACTATGCCTATCCAACGATATAAAAAACTCAAAATCGAATTTTTTTTTGGAGACAATCGCGATTTTTGACAAGAGAGCGAAGGTCATATTCTTTACTTTTTTATGTCTTTCACCTTTTTGATTTCACTCATTGAGTCAGATTTGAATTTTTTATTCATTAATTGCATCATCAACATTTGTCATGTTCAATCTAGCGAAGTTTTGATTGCATCAAAAGTAAAATCTTTAACAATACTCTATTAGTTTATCGTTATTATCATCAGCACTTTCAAACAAATTATAATTACATATCATGATTACTTTCTCTTAATTATATAAATAATAAAAATTATTTAATCAAAACATAGTTCAATACAACAATGATGTAGGATCATATCAATTATTCTGCCAACCTTGCTATAGATTTAACATTCTAATCATCTTATCATCTATAAGATAATTAAAATATTTTCTCGAATTCATTCAATATGATTATTATAGAACAAAGAATATACACTTTGTGCTAGAAAATAAAGATTAACTACTAAAAAGAAGACAACAACGTGATAGACAACAACAAGAACAACAAGAACAACAGAAAAAACGAATGTATAAACTCATTGAGATGGACGGATTGATTGATCGATCTTTAGATAATTTCATATTCTTCTTAGTTCTTTCTTTTATTGCTATTATCCGGATTGTCCAGCAGCAAATCTTAAACGTTTATTTTTTTGTCGTTGATTACAAAACCAAACACGTACAACATTCTTCTTTAAATCAAGTTTATCGGCTATTTGTGCAATACGTTCACCACTCGGTCTTTGTTGTTGAATAAAACATGATTCAAGAAAACGTTTTTCTTGTGCTGCAATTGATGTTCGTTTTCGTTTTTTGTCAGCTAAAC